GCCCACACCATGGAAGGCCCCACGCCAACAATGGCCCCACACCAATGAAGCCCCCACACCAACGAAGGCCCCCCACCAACGACGGCCCCCCACCAACGACGGCCCCACACCAACGAACGCCCCACACCAACGAACGCCCCCACACCAACGAACGCCCCACACCAACGAAGGCTCACACGTTGAAAGGCCCACACCATGGAAGGCTAACACTTTGGAAGGCCCACACCATGGAAGGCACCACAGAAGGCCCCACACCAACGACGGCCCCACACCAACGACGGCCCCACACCAACGACGGCCCCACACCAACGAAGCCCCACACCAACGAAGGCCCCACACCAACGAAGGCCCCACACCAACGACGGCCCCACACCAACGAAGGCCCCACACCAACGAAGGCCCCACACCAACGAAGGCCCCACACCAACGAAGGCCCCACACCAACGAAGGCCCCACACCAACGACGGCCCCACACCAACGAAGGCCCCCCCACACCAACGAAGGCCCCACACCAACGAAGGCCCCCACACCAACGACGGCCCCACACCAACGACGGCCCCACACCAACGAAGGCCCCACACCAACGAAGGCTCACACGTTGGAAGGCCGACACCATGGAAGGCCCACACCATGGAAGGCCCCACACCATGGAAGGCCCCACGCCAACAATGGCCCCACACCAACGAAGCCCCCACACCAACGAAGGCCCCCCACCAACGACGGCCCCCCACCAACGACGGCCCCACACCAACGAAAGCCCCACACCAACGAACGCCCCACACCAACGAAGGCTCACACGTTGAAAGGCCCACACCATGGAAGGCTAACACTTTGGAAGGCCCACACCATGGAAGGCACCACAGAAGGCCCCACACCAACGACGGCCCCACACCAACGACGGCCCCACACCAACGACGGCCCCACACCAACGACGGCCCCACACCAACGACGGGCCCCACACCAACAAAGGCCCCACACCTAGAAAGGCCAACACCTAGAAAGGCCAACACCTAGAAAGGCCAACACCTAGAAAGGCCAACACCTTGGATGGCACCGCGGAAGGCCCCACACTAACGGCGGCCTTACACACCGAAGACGGCCTCACACCTTGGAAGGCGCAAACCATGGAAGGCCAACACAACAGAACAGCTCGTACAGTTCCTTATCCATGGTGGTCTGTGCCTCCTACTTACCTGTTCTACTGCTGCAGCATTGGGGCATTCAATGCTTTGCCATTTAAAATGTCTGGTAGTGTTGGATGTCCATGTACCCCACTGAACTGAACTGAACACTGAACTGAACTGAACACTGAACTGAACACTGAACTGAACACTGAACTGAACACTGAACTGAACACTGAACTGAACTGAACACTGAACTGAACACTGAAACTGAACACTGAACTGAACACTGAACTGAACTGAACTGAACACTGAACTGAACACTGAACTGAACACTGAACTGAACTGAACTGAACACTGAACTGAACTGAACTGAACACTGAACTGAACTGAACACTGAACTGAACTGAACTCTGAACTGAACTGAACTGAACACTGAACTGAACTGAACACTGAACTGAACACTGAACTGAACTGAACACTGAACTGAACTGAACTGAACACTGAACTGAACTGAACACTGAACTGAACTGAACACTGAACTGAACACTGAACTGAACTGAAACACTGAACTGAACTGAACACTGAACTGAACACTGAACTGAACACTGAACTGAACACTGAACTGAACACTGAACTGAACACTGAACTGAACACTGAACTGAACTGAACACTGAACTGAACACTGAACTGAACACTGAACTGAACACTGAACTGAACACTGAACTGAACACTGAACTGAACACTGAACTGAACACTGAACACTGAACTGAACACTGAACTGAACACTGAACTGAACTGAACACTGAACTGAACATTGGCTTTTACCTCCAACCCCTGCATCAGTAAAAGACTCAGAAGTGACAGAGGGGCCAGAGGGAGGAACCATCGCACAGGATGGCCATGACACTCTGGGAAGTGTCCAACACGAAAAAGTCTTACAGGGGCTGCAGTACTGGAATGGAAGGAAAGTGGGAGACACCGGAGAGGGGGGTATAAAACGTCTTCTATCACAGGGATTGGAGGGGAGGTAGGAGACACGGGACACCGGAGAGGGGGGTATAATACCTCTTCTATTACAGGGAGGGGAGGTAGGAGACACGGGACACCGGAGAGGGGGGTATAATACCTCTTCTATTACAGGGAACGGAGGGGGGGTAGGAGACACGGGACACCGGAGAGGGGGGGTATAATACCTCTTCTATTACAGGGAACGGAGGGGGGGTAGGAGACACGGGCACACCGGAGAGGGGGGTATAATACCTCTTCTATTACAGGGAACGGAGGGGAGGTAGGAGACACGGGACACCGGAGAGGGGGGTATAATACCTCCTCTATTACAGGGAACGGAGGGGAGGTAGGAGACACGGGACACCGGAGAGGGGGGTATAATCCTTCTATTACAGGGAACGGAGGGGAGGTAGGAGACACGGGACACCGGAGAGGGGGGTATAATACCTCTTCTATTACAGGGAATGGAGGGGAGGTAGGAGACACGGGACACCGGAGAGGGGGGTATAATACCTCTTCTATTACAGGGATTGGAGGGGAGGTAGGAGACACGGGACACCGGAGAGGGGGGTATAATACCTCTTCTATTACAGGGAACGGAGGGGAGGTAGGAGACACGGGACACCAGAGAGGGGGGTATAATACCTCTTCTATTACAGGGAACGGAGGGGAGGTAGGAGACACGGGACACCGGAGAGGGGGGTATAATACCTCTTCTATTACAGGGAATGGAGGGGAGGTAGGAGACAGGGGACACCGGAGAGGGGGGTATAATACCTCAAAACAATTTGGCACTTACCAAGGAGATTGGTGCCATCATCTTCATGCAGATCACAGATGGATTCCTCCAACGAGACCCGCTCCTGCTCTATGGAGTCATGGAAGGTCCGCTCCGTGTCCTGCTCCTGGAGGACATGCAAGGTCTGCAGCAGATTTGGGACAAGGGACTTCTGTTCCTGGTCCCGGGGAACATAAGACGCTGCCTCCTGCTCATGGTGGGCATGCAACGTCGGCTCCAGCTCCTGGGGGACAGGCGACGCCGGCTCCAGCTCCTGGGGGACAGGCGACGCCGGCTCCAGCTCCTGGGGGACAGGCGACGCCGGCTCCAGCTCCTGGGGGACAGGCGACGCCGGCTCCAGCTCCTGGGGGACAGGCGACGCCGGCTCCAGCTCCTGGGGGACAGGCGACGCCGGCTCCAGCTCCTGGGGGACAGGCGACGCCGGCTCCAGCTCCTGGGGGACAGGCGACGCCGGCTCCAGCTCCTGGGGGACAGGCGACGCCGGCTCCAGCTCCTGGGGGACAGGCGACGCCGGCTCCAGCTCCTGGGGGACAGGCGACGCCGGCTCCAGCTCCTGGGGGACAGGCGACGCCGGCTCCAGCTCCTGGGGGACAGGCGACGCCGGCTCCAGCTCTGGCTTCTGGGGAATATGTGACACCGGTTTCATCTTCTGTTCCTGTTGGACATCTAAGAGCTGCTCCATCTCCTGCACCTCGGGGACAGGTGAGACCTGCTCCCTCTCCTGCCCCTGGGAGACATGGGACACTGTCTCCATTTCCTGGGAGACAATTGACATCAACCCCAGCTCCTTAGAGACATGTGACACCCGCTGCATCTCCTGCTCCTGATGGGCACGCAAGACCTGCTCCATCTCCTGGGGAACTTGCGAGACCTGCTCCATCTCCTGGGGAATTTGCGAGACCTGCTTCATCTCCTGAGGAACTTGCGAGACCTGTTCCATCTCCTGAGGAACAAGAGAGACCTGCTCCATGTCCTGGGGAACAAGAGAGACCTGCTCCATGTCCTGGGGAACAAGAGAGACCTGCTCCATCTCCTGGGGAACAAGAGAGACCTGCTCCATCTCCTGGGGAACAAGAGAGACCTGTTCCATCTCCTGGGGAACAAGAGAGACCTGTTCCATCTCCTGGGGAACAAGAGAGACCTGTTCCATCTCCTGGGGAACAAGAGAGACCTGTTCCATCTCCTGGGGAACAAGAGAGACCTGTTCCATCTCCTGGGGAACAAGAGAGACCTGTTCCATCTCCTGGGGAACAAGAGAGACCTGTTCCATCTCCTGGGGAACAAGAGAGAATCTCTTGGGGAACAAAAGAGACCTGCTCCATCTCCTGAGGAACTTGCAAGACCTGCTCCACTCCTGGGGAACAAGAGAGACCTGCTCCATCTCCTGAGACCTGCTCCATCTCCTGGGGAACAAAAGAGACCTGCTCCATCTCCTGAGGAACTTGTGAGACCTGCTCCATCTCCTGAGGAACTTGTGAGACCTGCTCCATCTCCTGAGGAACTTGTGAGACCTGCTCCATCTGCTGAGGAACTTGTGAGACCTGCTCCATCTGCTGAGGAACTTGTGAGACCTGCTCCATCTGCTGAGGAACTTGTGAGACCTGCTCCATCTGCTGAGGAACTTGTGAGACCTGCTCCATCTGCTGAGGAACTTGTGAGACCTGAGCTGCTCCATCTGCTGAGGAACTTGTGAGACATCTGCTGAGGAACCTGCTCCATCTCCTGAGGAACTTGCGAGACCCTCTCCATCTCTTGGGCAACATGCGAGACCTGTTTCATCTCCTGGGTAACATGTGAGACACGCTCCATCTCTTGGGTAACACGAGAGACCCGCTCCATCTCTTGGGTAACATGCAAGACCCGCTCCATCTCTTGGGGAACAGGCGAGACCCGCTCCATCTCCTGGGGAACAGGCGAGACCCGCTCATCTCCTGGGGAACAGGCGAGACCCGCTCCATCTCCTGGGGAACAGGTGAGACCCGCTCCATCTCCTGGGGAACAGGCGAGACCCGCTCCATCTCCTGGGGAACAGGTGAGACCCGCTCCATCTCCTGGGGAACAGGTGAGACCCGCTCCATCTCCTGGGGAACAGGCGAGACCCGCTCCATCTCCTGGGGAACAGGTGAGACCCGCTCCATCTCCTGGGGAACACATGCGAGACCCGCTCCATCTCCTGGGGAACATGCGAGACCCGCTCCATCTCCTGGGGAACATGCGAGACCCGCTCCATCTCCTGGGGAACATGCGAGACCTGTTCTATTGGCCTGGATGGCTCATGCCCAGAATTGAGTGTCACTTGCTGATGTGCCGTATGTTTCTGTTGAGTGTGCCTGAAATACACAAAAAAGCAGCAAAGAAAATAATATTTGGACACAAATCACTCAAAGGGTGTCAAACAATCTAAGCAAACATGGCAGGAATAGGAATGCTGGCTTTCATCTTGGGAGATGCAGTTCTGGGGGCGGGGGATGGGGCAGGAGCTGACCTCCCTGCATCTGCCCCGTACCTGTATGAGCCTGGTGATGCTATAAGGGAAGGTAATGGCCTCTCCAATTTGGAAGCTGGTCGGAGACACAGCTCTTTATTCTCTTCTCCCCCTCCAATACTCCAGGGAACTTGGTTAGGTCTGGTCCTCCTAGAAAGGTCACCGATCACTCACTCTTGCATACAGAAACATTCACCCTTCCACTTCCCAAAACTGGAAGGTTCAAGTACCTTCCACAAGTACATCCCATCACCTGTCTGATACTGGCATCCACACATGAAGACTTGGCTCTGATTACCCAGGAATGAACCCACTCATCATTGTGTCCTTCAAGCCCAGCAATACATTGGGACAGAAGCTTGGACATCCATAAGACCCAACACAAGCCAAGTCATTTGGTATATGCAGTGCGGTGTAGTGAGGACTACAAGGACCAGTTCATTGAGGAGACAACCGCTCAACAATGAAAGGCTCAACATAGGAAGGCAAATTCTACAGAAGCTTGGACATCCATAAGACCCAACACAAGCCAAGTCATTTGGTATATGCAGTGTGGTGTAGTGAGGACTACAAGGACCAGTTTCATTGAGGAGACAACCGCTCAACAATGAAAGCACGCTGTGTGTTGTGAGGACATACAAGGACCAGTTCAATGAGGAGACAAATTCCCGCTCACATAGGAAGGCATAGGAAGGCAAATTCTACAGAAGCTTGGACATCCATAAGACCCAACACAAGCCAAGTCATTTGGTATATGCAGTGCGGTGTAGTGAGGACTACAAGGACCAGTTCATTGAGGAGACAACCGCTCAACAATGAAAGGCTCAACATAGGAAGGCAAATTCTACAGAAGCTTGGACATCCATAAGACCCAACACAAGCCAAGTCATTTGGTATATGCAGTGCGGTGTAGTGAGGACTACAAGGACCAGTTCATTGAGGAGACAACCGCTCAATGAAACAATGAAAGGCTCAACATAGGAAGGCAAATTCTACAGAAGCTTGGACATTCCATAAGACCCAACACAAGCCAAGTCATTTGGTATATGCAGTGCGGTGTAGTGAGGACTACAAGGACCAGTTCATTGAGGAGACAACCGCTCAACAATGAAAGGCTCAACATAGGAAGGCAAATTCTACAGAAGCTTGGACATCCATAAGACCCAACACAAGCCAAGTCATTTGGTATATGCAGTGCGGTGTAGTGAGGACTACAAGGACCAGTTCATTGAGGAGACAACCCGCTCAACAATGAAAGGCTCAACATAGGAAGGCAAATTCTACAGAAGCTTGGACATCCATAAGACCCAACACAAGCCAAGTCATTTGGTATATGCAGTGCGGTGTAGTGAGGACTACAAGGACCAGTTCATTGAGGAGACAACCGCTCAACAATGAAAGGCTCAACATAGGAAGGCAAATTCTACAGAAGCTTGGACATCCATAAGACCCAACACAAGCCAAGTCATTTGGTATATGCAGTGCGGTGTAGTGCAAGGGTTCATTGAGGAGACAACCGCTCAACAATAGTGAAGGGACTATCCAAGGACCAAGTCAGTTCATTGATTGAGGAGACAACCGCTCAACAATGAAAGGCTCAACATAGGAAGGCAAATTCTACAGAAGCTTGGACATCCATAAGACCCAACACAAGCCAAGTCATTTGGTATATGCAGTGCGGTGTAGTGAGGACTACAAGGACCAGTTCATTGAGGAGACAACCGCTCAACAATGAAAGGCTCAACATAGGAAGGCAAATTCTACAGGCCGAGACTCAACGGTCTTCCTACAACCTTACTGGAAAAAAAAAAACCCCCAAAACATTCTTTCAAGGACATACTTTGGACAACTGGTTCTCGAGAGGTGTAGAAGAGACCATCAACATCTGACTGGAATAATAATCCCTGAACAGGATGTCAAACTGGGAGCTATTGTAACATCTCTACACCATGACAAGACATTCACGCCTTCAGCCATTGACTAAAAAGACCAATACCTATGCAGACCCCTGGACACCAAGCATGGGATGAGGTCGCTAGAACAGAGGGGTGTTCCACAACTCTCATACCTCCCATGCTGTTCTTGGACAACCTACATTTACACCTTCCATAGTGATTGGATGAAGGTTCTACCTGGGTGGATATAAAGGTTGGGGTATCTTCCTGACAATCATTAGAACCAGAGCAACGAAACGCCATCAACATTAGAGAACAAGTCCAGATTAATGTGACTATTACTTGAGATACCATGACTTGGAGGACAGAGAACCTTCACAGACAACCCAGACCTGGTCAACACAGGTGTGTGTTGATATGTAGATGTGATTAGGCTCAGGCCCATCATTGGCCAATTAGACCAGATATTCCTTCAGTCAGGTCATCTGACTCAAGCTGAATTCCAGGTATGGATATACAGTGGGGCAAAAAAGTATGTAGTCACCACCAATGGTGCAAGTTCTCCCACTTACAAAGATGAGAGAGGCCTGTAATTGGCATCATAGGGAGACCTCAACTATGAGAGACAAAATGAGAAAACAAATCCAGACAATCTCATTGGCTGATCTGGAAAGAATTTATTTGCAAATTATGGTGGAAAATAAGTATTTGGTGAATATGAAAAGTTCATGTCAATACTTTGTTATATATCCTTTGTTGGCAATGACAGAGGTCAGACGTTTCCTGGAAGTCCTCACAAGGTTGGCACACACTGTTGCTGGTATGTTGGCCCATCCTCCATGCAGATCTCCTCCTCCATGCAGATCTCCTCTAGAGCAGTGATGTTTTGGGGCTGTCGCTGGGCAACACGGACTTTCAATTCCCTCCAAAGGTTTTCTATGGGGTTGAGATCTGGAGACTGGCTAGCCACTCCAGGACCTTGAAATGCTTCTTACGAAGCCACTCCTTCGTTGCCCAGGCGGTATGTTTGGGATCATTGTCATGTTGGAAGACCCAGCCACGTTTCATCTTCAATGCCCTTGCTGATGGAAGGAGGTTTGCACTCAAATCTCCGATACATGGCCCCATTCATTCTGTCCTGTACATGGATCAGTCGTCCTGGTCCCTTTGCGGAGAAACAGCCCCAAAGCATGATGTTGCCACCTCCATGCTTCACAGTAGGTATGGTGTTCTTCGGATGCAACTCAGCATTCTCTCTCCTCCAAACACGACGAGTTGTGTTTCTACCAAACAGTTCTATTTTGGTTTCATCTGACCATATGACATTCTCCCAATCCTCTTCTGGATCATCCAAATGCTCTCTAGCAAACTTCAGAGGGGCCCGGGACATGTACTGGCTAAAGCAGGGGGCCACGTCTGGCACTGCAGGATCTGAGTCCCTGGCGGCGTAGTGTGTTACTGATGGCAGCCTTTGTTACGTTGGTCCCAGCTCTCTGCAGGTCATTCACTAGGTCCCCCCGTGTGGTCCTGGGATTTTTGCTCACCGTTCTTGTGATCATTTTGACCCCACGGGGTGAGATCTTGCGTGGAGCCCCAGATGGAGGGAGATTATCAGTGGTCTTGTATGTCTTCCATTTTCTAATTATTGGTCCCACAGTTGATTTGTTCACACCAAGCTGCTTGCCTATTGCAGATTCAGTCTTCCCAGCCTGGTGCAGGTCTACAATTTTGTTTCTGGTGTCCTTCGCCAGCTCTTTGGTCTTCACCATAGTGGAGTTTGGAGTGTGACTGTTTGAGGTTGTGGACAGGTGTCTTTTATACTGATAACAACCTCAAACAGGTGCCATTGATACAGGTAATGAGTGCAGGAGGAGGAGCCTCTTAAAGAAGAAGGTCCAGGTCTGTGAGAGCCAGAAATCTGATGGTTTGTAGGTCACCAAATACTTATTTTCCACCATAATTTGCAGATAAATTCTTTCCATATCAGCCAATGAGATTGTCTGGATTTGTTTTCTCATTTTGTCTCTCATAGTTGAGGTCTCCCTATGATGCCAATTACAGGCCTCTCTCATCTTTGTAAGTGGGGAGAACTTGTACAATTGGTGGGGACTAAATACTTTTTTGCCCCACTGTATTTGCGGAATTCCAGGTATGGATATTTTTGCCGAATTCCAGGTATGGATATTTTTTGCCGAATTCCAGGTATGGATATTTTTGCCGAATTCCAGGTATGGATATTTTTGCCGAATTCCAGGTATGGATATTTTTGCCGAATTCCAGGTATGGATATTTTTGCCGAATTCCAGGTATGGACCATTTTTGCCGAATTCCAGGTATGGATATTTTTGCTGATTGGAATTCCAGGTATGGGATATATTTGCGGAATTCCAGGTATGGATATTTTTGCCGAATTCCAGGTATGGATATTTTTGCTGAATTCCAGGTATGGATATTTTTGCCGAATTCCAGGTATGGAAATCTTTGCATTGTTACGTTGGACCATCTTGGACCAGGTAAGTCTACAAATTCCATACCTGGCTGATCCACATGGAAGCAGGAAATCACTGCAGTAGTTTCTACGACTAGTGATCCTCGCCGTCTTCTGACTACCCTGCTGCACAGGTCGCTCGCTTGGCATGGGCACCATTCTTCCAATGGATACAAAGAGTTTTATGACTGGATAAGGTGGAAAAAAGTGGATCGATCGCTTGGCATGGGCACTATTCGATCAATGGATGCAAAGAGTTCTCCGATTAGATAAGGTGACATCATGATCTCCATCTCGTCCAATCAGAGAACACCTTGCATCCATTGAGAAAACTACAAGGCATTCTCAAAATGGCGGCCTGTGTTACCAGGGGCGGCCTGAAAACTCATGGGGCCCCCGGGCAATAGGGGATCATGGGGCCTGTGTCCTTGCCCATACTCCAAAAAGCCTATGAAAAAGGTGCATCTCATGACCCCGGGCCCCGGGCAGTGCCCGAATTTCCAAATGGTCAGTCCGCCCCTGGTGGTCACTATGCAGCAGGGCAGCCACTCTGGATCTGGAGGATAGTGAAGATCGCTAGTAGCAATGGCTAATATAGTGATTCTTCCCTTCCATAGGGATTGGACAAGTATGTATACCAGGAGGACCAATGTAACTATCCCAAGATATCCATGTCTGGAGTCCAGCTTTAACCTTTCATTGGTGGGGTTGAAGGCCAGGAATGCATTGCATATAATCTACATCTTTATAAAAAGTCTTAAAGGTCTTACATGGTCACTCCATAGTCGAAGGTGAGCTCAGTTCCCACATCGATGTCCTCCTTGGCTATCAACAGTATCACGGGAGAGGTGCCGTTCTTCAGATATCTCACTTCGGGTTTGAGGTTCGGCTTCTTCTTGGAATGGTTTATCTTTCTGCCGTAGGTGGACAGTCTGGGGTGGCAGGGACATGGGACGTTTTGGGCGTCGATGCAAAGCCTCTTCTGTTGTTTTTTGTCCTTGAAGAAATACAAGTAGCACATCTCTCCCGGAGCGATGGAGTTCAAAATCTCCTCTCCTCGTTCATGGCTCACCACGGCTCCATGGCAGTCACACACAACGTCTCCTTTCTGGAAAGGCAGAGTAGTGATGAGCGTCTCTCCGGTGTTCCCAACTCTGTCCTCCACGATGGCCAGTCCTTTCCAGTCCTGGGAGTCCACCAGCCTTTCTATTTCTTTGGTAAGATCCGCCTTATCTCGATCTATGCTGGGCTTCCAGTTCTCCAGAATATCCTGGACTTTCGGGACATTGACCTTCCAGCCTTGCACCTTAATGTAGGACTGGATCTGTTCTTCTGTTGGTAGGCTCCTTTTGAAGCGTCCTAAAGAAATAGGAACAATGGGCTCAATATCCAATATTTATAACTTGGATGGTTCTCCACTTTCCAATCCTCTACAAATTCCCAAGTTTCTTCTCTGAACCCGATGTACCAATACCCACGTAAGGGCTGCTGGATTTTAAATCGGTCCTCCTAGCTTTCTTAATGGTGACCGGCCCCATAGCTACTCAACCGCTCACTAATATACAGTCAGGTCCATAAATATTGGGACATAGACACGATTCTAACATTTTTGGCTCTATACACCACAATGGATTTGAAATGAAACGAACAAGATGTGCTTTAACTGCAGACTGTCCGCTTTAATTTGAGGGTATTTACATCCAAATCAGGTGAACGGTGTAGGAATTACAACAGTTTGCATATGTGCCTCCCACTTGTCAAGGGACCAAAAGTAATGGGACAATTGGCTTCTCAGCTGTTCCATGGCCAGGTGTGTGTTATTCCCTCATTATCCCAATTACAATGAGCAGATAAAAGGTCCAGAGTTCATTTCAAGTGTGCTATTTGCATTTGGAATCTGTTGCTGTCAACTCTCAAGATGAGACCCAAAGAGCTGTCACTATCAGTGAAGCCATCATTAGGCTGAAAAAACAAAACAAACCCATCAGAGATAGCAAAAACATTAGGCGTGGCCAAAACAACTGTTTGGAACATTCTTAAAAAGAAGGAACGCACCGGTGAGCTCAGCAACACCAAAAGACCCGGAAGACCACGGAAAACAACTGTGGTGGATGAGCGAAGAATTCTTTCCCTGGTGAAGAAAACACCCTTCACAACAGTTGGCCGGATCAAGAACACCCTCCAGGAGGTAGGTGTATGTGTGTCAAAGTCACCAATCAAGAGAAGACTTCACCAGAGTGAATACAGAGGGTTCACCACAAGATGGAAACCATTGGTGAGCCTCAAACACAGGAAGGCCAGATTAGAGTTTGCCAAACGACATGTAAAAAAGCCTTCACAGTTCTGGAACAACATCCTATGGAGAGATGAGACCGACATCAACTTGTACCAGAGTGATGGGAAGAGAAGAGGATGGAGAAGGAACTGCTCATGGTCCTCAGCATACCACCTCATCAGTGATCATGGTGGTGGTAGTGTCATGGCGTGGGCATGTATGGCTGCCAATGGAACTGCTTCTCTTGTATTTATTGATGATGTGACGGCTGACAGAAGCAGCCGGATGAATTGTGAAGTGTTTCGGGAATATTATCGGCTCATATTCAGCCAAATGCTTCACAACTCATTGGACGCTTCACAGTGCAGATGGACAATGACCCAAAGCAGACTGCAAAAGACACCAAAGAAGTGGAATGTTCTGCAATGGCCAATCACCTGACCTGAATCCCATTGAGCATTTCACTTGCTGAAGACAAAACTGAAGGGAAAATGCCCCAAGAACAAGCAGGAACTGAAGACAGTTGTAGTAAAGGCCTGGCAGAGCATCACCAGGGATGACACCCAGCGTCTGGGATGTCTATGCGTTCCACACTTCAGGCTGTCATTGACTGCAAAGGATTTGTAACCAAGTATTAAAAAGTGAAAGTTTGATTTAGGATTATTATTCTGTCCCATTACTTTTGGTCCCTTAACAAGTGGGAGGCACCTATGCAAACTGTTGTAATTCCTACACCGTTCACCTGATTTGGATGTAAATACCCTCAAATTAAAGCTGACAGTCTGCAGTTAAAGCACATCTTGTTCGTTTCATTTCAAATCCATTGTGGTGTATAGAGCCCAAAAATGTTAGAATTGTGTCCGTGTCCCAATATTTATGGACCTGACTGTATCAGACCCTACAATCCTTTCCTTGAGATTTATTGGCTCAATTGACCTGCGAAGGAAAGGTTAGGGGTACAGGAGACCCAAAAACAAGAAAAAAAATCCCTCCACACTGCAGAATAGGGATGGGCTGAGTGTTTAGGGCATTTAGCATGGCCGAATGTGACAGCTTCAATGGTTGCTAAGGAAGCAGCAGTTGCCATGACCAACCACTCGGAAGTCCTCAGCCATGAGGAAAGGGTTGGGGGCATGGGTCACATTGCTGTCTAAATACGGCCACATGGTCCTGTTTGGGAAATAACATGGTCCAGATATAACCGTGGCCATATTTGGGCAATGAGGTCACCACTATTCCCGCCCCTTTCCATACATTGCCCATGATAGCTCAGGGAGCTGCCATACCTTTAGGGTCATCAGGTTTTCCCTTTCATTGGACATTGGGATTGACATGGATCTAAAAATTGTGGGTCATTGTTGAAAGCAGGGGCTGACTGACAACTCATGGGGCCCCCGGGCAATAAGGGATCATGTGGCCCCTGTGTCCTTGCCCAAACTCAAGAAAGCCTATGAAAAAGGTGCATCTCATGGGGCCCCCTACTGACCCTGGGCCCTCGGGCAGTGTCCGAGTTTCCAAATGGTCAGTCCGCCCCTGGTTGAAAGGGACTTCCAGATTCCTATAACTGCCCCTCCCCCACCAACACTGGGCCAGAGGCCCTTGTAGTCACCAGCATGGGGACAAGGTGTTTTGTGAGGGCGTGGCAAGGTACAACCCCCATGTTAAGGGCATGTGGGGAGGGGTGACAAGGGGAACACACCCTTTCCTGACCTGCCAATCTGCATCCTCCAATAACGGTCTGCTATGGATTTTTAGTGGGGGTGGTCTTATGCTTTTTCCCTAGATTTTTTTGGGGGGGTTCCCCATTAAAATTCATACCAGACCCTTTGGGTGGGAACCTCAAACCTTTTTTATCCGAAGGGCCTGGTATGAAAAAAAAAAAACCCACCCAACCCGTAAAACGGGACCGCATAGAAGAACGTTCTGCTCACCGATGACATCATCCATCCGCATTCTGTACTGCTGCGCCCTCCAGCGTTTATAGCAGTACGCGCCGTGCGCCTTGGATATTCTCTTACAGGCCTTGGTGCCTGGGCCAGCACGGTTAATGCTGACAGGATAGGCATCTTCAGTCTTCTTAAAACACATCTCCTTCTCACCCACGAGAGGGCCACGTCGGCACTGCTGTCCTCACCTGTCACCCCTCGGCCCCTGGAGGTCTGCGTCCCCGGAAGGGAAACTGGTGAAAATGACAAAAGGTGGCTCCTTAGACCTCATTTCGTGGTACAGTCAGATTTTATGGTCACAGACAACCACCCAAAACCCAACCCACGGCTGTGCGTGGCTCCACCCACATAGCTTCATCACCCCCTCCAGTGCAGGCTACACAACAACGTTCCGGGGATCCCTCTCCCCGTTCAGAAGGCCAACCCCATAATAGAAGGTCTCCTAAGAACAGAAGGTAATCACATGGCTCATTCCATCACATATCCAATAAAATTCCTCATCTCAGGAGAGTGGGCGGAGCCATGCCAATCATTCCTTTATACCCCAACAGCCAAATAACTGTCCAGGACCGCAGGCGCATACTGAAGATGCAGCCAATGATAGAGCCAGTTATCCCAAGGTGCAGAGAGATGCTTGAGGCTTCTTGGCCACCATCAGTGCAGTCTACAGAAGCCACGGCTTCCAACAACGAAGGCGACCACAGAGAAGTACAACTTGTAATATGAAAAGTCGTCATTATTCCGCCAGCAACCCACCTGGAGGCCGGAGGGGCCCAATGTCTCTGCATCCTGCTCACCATAACACAGCCGCCCGCACCAGGTCCGTCTCGGAGGGTTTGGCCGCTTGCGGTGAGAGCCTCAGGTGTTTTCGCAGCAGTTGTTGCTCTTCGTCGTTACAACGAGACAAGCAGCATTGTTCAAAAACTTTCCTCACCTGCTGGACCTTCACCTCCGGAAGATGGAACCTGAAAAATACATTCATATCAGTACGGTTCTTCTGTACCGGTCTAAGGAAATGACATCATTGGACCAGACCAGCTCCTCCCCCAACCACATTCCCCCCATAGAGCAGAGCAATTCTTCCAATCCTGTTATGGTGAGGACTTTGTCCTTACATAAAACAGACAACACCATCAGCACCAGGATTTCCCCCAATCCCATTGGTCTGTCCATCCCTGCTTGGAAAACCATGCCGCCATTTTACAATATAAGCCATCACCGGAGGCCGGCTTCTTACTGCCTTGTCCTGCTTGTAGGCCCTTCAGTGGTGTCCTCACCAGATCCCATGAGGTTTGTTATGGTTTACACGAGGCCCTGGCAGCCAAAACCCACGTGGTTAGAGCAAAGAAGAAAAAAGGGGCTTTTCCCGGGATCCCACACATTTCACAAGATCCCAGAATTCCCATACCGGAGCTCTCTGGGAGGCACTGGCGACGTACGTAGGGGCGTCTGCGAGGCACTGGCGACGTAGCACTGGGGTAGGGGGCGTCTGCGAGGCACTGGCGACGTAGGGGGCGTCTGGCGACGTAGGGGGCGTCTGCGAGGCACTGGCGACGTAGGGGGCGTCTCTGCGTAGGGGGGTCTGCGAGGCACTGGCGACGTAGGGGGCGTCTGCGAGGCACTGGCGACGTAGGGGGCGTCTGCGAGGCACTGGCGACGTAGGGGGGGGGCGTCTGCTGCGAGGCACTGGCGACGTAGGGGGCGTCTGCGACTGGCGACGTAGGGGGCGTCTGCGAGGCAGGCACTGGCGACGTATAGGGGGCGTCTGCGAGGCACTGGCGACGTAGGGGGCGTCTGCGAGGCACTGGCGACGTAGGGGGCGTCTGCGAGGCACTGGCGACGTAGGGGGCGTCTGCGAGGCACTGGCGACGTAGGGGGCGTCTGCGAGGCACTGGCGACGTAGGGGGCGTCTGCGAGGCACTGGCGACGTAGGGGGCGTCTGCGAGGCACTGGCGACGTAGGGGGCGTCTGCGAGGCACTGGCGACGTAGGGGGGGCGTCTGCGAGGCACTGGCGACGTAGGGGGCGTCTGCGAGGCACTGGCGACGTAGGGGGCGTCTGGATGTCACCACAGGTGGGAAAGCGGGACGTGGAAGAAATAAAACGACGTAGGGGGGAGAATGGTGGGGGCGTGGTTATTGGGCCTTATTAGAGTCAACGAATGGCTAGTAAGAAAAAAAACTGTCAGAGATGTAAATGGACAGAATATGCAAATCACTCCTTCTGTAAATTCACTATATTGTCCCAGCCCTCCATATCATGTGATTCAGTGCAGGTGTTCCAATCCCCTCCATATCATGTGATTCAGGTGTTCCAATCCCCTCCATATCATGTGATTCAGGTGTTCCAATCCCCTCCATATCATGTGACTCAGGTGTTCCCATCCCCTCCATATCATGTGACTCAGGTGTTCCCATCCCCTTCATATCATGTGATTCAGGTGTTCCAATCCCCCCATATCATGTGATTCAGGTGTTCCAATCTCCTCCCTATCATGTGACTTAGGTGTTCCAATCCCCTCCATATCATGTGATTCAGGTGTTCCCATCCCCTCCCTATCATGTGACTCAGGTGTTCCAATCCCCTCCATATCATGTGATTCAGGTGTTCCCATCCCCTCCCTATCATGTGACTCAGGTGTTCCAATCCCCTCCATATCATGTGATTCAGGTGTTCCCATCCCCTTCATATCATGTGATTCAGGTGTTCCAATCCCCTCCATATCATGTGATTCAGGTGTTCCCATCCCCTTCATATCATGTGATTCAGGTGTTCCAATCCCCCCATATCATGTGATTCAGGTGTTCCAATCCCCTCCCTATCATGTGACTCAGGTGTTCCAATCCCCTCCATATCATGTGATTCAGGTGTTCCCATCCCCTCCCTATCATGTGACTCAGGTGTTCCAATCCCCTCCATATCATGTGATTCAGGTGTTCCCATCCCCTCCCTATCATGTGACTCAGGTGTTCCCATCCCCTTCATATCATGTGATTCAGGTGTTCCAATCCCCTTCATATCATGTGATTCAGGTGTTCCCATCCCCTTCATATCATGTGATTCAGGTGTTCCCATCCCCTCCATATCATGTGATTCAGGTGTTCCAATCCCCTCCATATCATGTGATTCAGGTGTTCCAATCCCCTCCATATCATGTGATTCAGGTGTCCCAATCCCCTCCCAATCATGTGACTCAGGTGTTCCAATCCCCTCCATATCATGTGATTCAGGTGTTCCAATCCCCTCCATGGACACAGGTGTATACAATCAAGCCCCTAGGCATGCAGACTGCTTCTACAAACATTGGTGAAAGAATGGGTCGCTCTCAGGAGCTCAGTGACTCCAAGCGTGGTCCCGTGATAGGTGGCCACCTGGGCAATAAGTCCATCCGGGACATTTCCTGGCTACTAAATATTCCACGCTCAACTGTTAGTGGGATTATAACAAAGTGGAAGCCACTGGGAACAACAGCCACTCAGCCACCAAGTGGTAGGCCACGTCACATGACAGGGCGGGGTCAGCGCATGCTGAAGCGCACAGAAGTCACCAACTGTCTGCAGAGTCAATAGCTAAAGACCTCCAAACTTGGTGTGGCCTTCAGATGAGCCCAACAACAGTGCGTAGAGAGATTCATGGAATGGGTTTCCATGGCCGAGCAGCTGCATCCAAGCCTTCCATCACCAAGTGCAATGCAAAGCGTCTGATGCCGTGGTGTAAAGCACGCCGCCACTGGACTCTAGAGCAGAGGAGACGTGTTCTCTGGGGTGACCAATCACGCTTCTCTGTCTGGCAATGCGATGGATGTGTCTGGGTTTGGCGGTTGCCAGGAGAATGGTACTTGCCTGACTGCATTGTACCAAGTGTAGAGTTTGGTGGAGGGGGGATTATGGTGTGGGGGTGTGTACTTCCATGAGGGCGTATAGTGACAGCTGGGAAGGAGAAGAGGGCGTACTCTATAATGGGCATACTCCATATGTCTAAGGTTTTTCAGCAGGTTATGGAGTGGATTGGCGAGATGAAGCTTTCCTCACCTTTCATGGAACTTCTTGTGGTTGTAGGTCAGGTTCTTAATTTTCCCGCCATTGGTGGCTACGAAGAAGTGGTCTTCTCCTTTGTTCACGTTCTTCATGAAGACGGGGCGGACCTTCCTGAAGAACGTGTCGAACCACATTTCCTCCTGTTTCTCTAAGGCGATTATAGCGATCTGCCTCATCTCCGCCGTCCTCTGCTCCACCCTGATGACAGCAACTTCAATGGCCTCCTCGCCCACCTGAACTGTAAGGTGGGACCTCAGCAGCCACTGATGGACCTGAGAAGAGAGCAGATGGCTGTTAGTGATCAGTTCAGGTTCTTGGAGGAAGGCGAGGCCCTCAGACATGGAGGCCCCTCACCATACGCAGTACTCACTTGAAGGAAGCGCCCACCCCCTGACCCCCTCTCTAATACTGCCCCACAATCTTTTTTTTCTCCCCACTGTCCCCATCCCCCACACCTGGGCTTACCCATTGCACATCATTCATTCCCCCCCAGGTCATCCACAATCGACTCCCCCACACTTGCCCCCACTATCCTCATTCCCTCCCGCTGTCCCCACAACCCCCACATCACATTGGGGTTCACCCATTCAACAACTTTCATCCATTGCCCCCCCCCCCCCCCCACACCCAGCTCCCTTGTTGCACTTCAAATCTTACCCTAGAGCCCATGCACTCCACCCCCCACAAAGAACTCCCCCACTATCCTTATCCCCCTCCTGCTGATCCCAACTACCCCTCCCCCCCACGGGTCTCCATATTCACAACCTTCATCCATTCTCACCCAGTCCCCCCACACCCGACGTCCCTTGCTGAACTTATGATACCTTAGCTCCATATCCCCCAACCCCATACAATTCATCCAAAACAGACAGGAGGGGGAGGGGCCAGACCACCTCAGTACGATGTGGAACACTCACCGTCATATCCCGGACCACCGTAGGACTCTGTAGGTGTTGGAGGATGAGAAGGGCCACCAGATAATTACACAGCGCATTGTAGTCCCGGTCCTCCAGGTCGCCCATCGATTTCACCCTAATAATCAGACTCAGAAAGTACGGCTTGACGGTGGTCAGCAACCTCTGACACCCCTCCGGGGTACAAGCGTGATTTCTACAGAAGAGAGAGAAGATCCTCCAGAACATTTCCAAACAATTCCTCCTTCCTAACCCACCACCCCACCAGGCTACCGACTCACTGCCTACGTATCTCCCCCCTCATCAAGCCTCTCTCTAGAATATGTCCACCATGAACACCGATACCAGACTCTTCCACCACACCCACCCTCTCAGTGTCCTCCACCATGAACACCGATACCAGACTCTTCCACCATACCACCCTCTCAGTGTCCTCCACCATGAACACAGATACCAGACTCTTCCACCATACCACCCTCTCTCAGTGTCCTCCACCATGAACACCGATACTCTTCCCCACACTCTTCCACCATGAACACCGCCCTCTCAGTGTCCTCCACCATGAACACCGATACCACACTCTTCCACCACACCACCCTCTCAGTGTCCTCCACCATGAACACCGACCGATACCACTCTTCCACCATACCACCCTCTCAGTGTCCTCCACCATGAACACCGATACCACACTCTTCCACCGTACCACCCTCTCAGTGTCCTCCACCATGAACACCGATACCAGACTCTTCCACCATACCACCCTCTCAGTGTCCTCCACCATGAACACCGATACCACACTCTTCCACCATACCACCCTCTCAGTGTCCTCCACCATGAACACCGATACCACACTCTTCCACCATACCACCCCCTCTCATGAACACCGTGTCCTCCACCATGAACACCGATACCACACTCTTCCACCATACCACCCTCTCAGTGTCCTCCACCATGAACACCGATACCACACTCTTCCACCATACCACCCTCTCAGTGTCCTCCACCATGAACACCGATACCACACTCTTCCACCATACCACCCTCTCAGTGTCCTCCACCATGAACACCGATACCACACTCTTCCACCATACCACCCTCTCAGTGTCCTCCACCATGAACACCGATACCACACTCTTCCACCATACCACCCTCTCAGTGTCCTCCACCATGAACACCGATACCACACTCTTCCACCCTCTCAGTGTCCTCCACCATGAACACCGATACCAGACTCTTCCACCATACCACCCTCTCAGTGTCCTCCACCATGAACACCGATACCAGACTCTTCCACCATACCACCCTCTCAGTGTCCTCCACCATGAACACCGATACCAGACTCTTCCACCATACCACCCTCTCAGTGTCCTCCACCATGAACACCGATACCACACTCTTCCACCATACCACCCTCTCAGTGTCCTCCACCATGAACACCGAGAACCGATACCACTCTCTACCACCCTCTCAGTGTCCTCCACCATGAACACCGATACCACACTCTTCCACCATACCACCCTCTCAGTGTCCTCCACCCACCATGAACACCGATACCAGACTCTTCCCATACCACCCTCTCAGTGTCCTCCACCATGAACACCGATACCACACTCTTCCACCATCCACCCTCTCAGTGTCCTCCACCATGAACACCGATACCACTCTTCCACCATACCACCCTCTCAGTGTCCTCCACCATGAACACCGATACCAGACTCTTCCACCATACCACCCTCTCAGTGTCCTCCACCATGAACACCGATACCACACTCTTTCCACCATACCACCCTCTCAGTGTCCTCCACCATGAACACCGATACCACACTCTTCCACCACCCTCTCAGTGTCCTCCACCATGAACACCGATACCCACACTCTTCCACCATACCACCCTCTCAGTGTCCTCCACCATGAACACCGATACCAGACTCTTCCACCATACCACCCTCTCAGTGTCCTCCACCATGAACACCGATACCAGACTCTTCCACCATACCACCCTCTCAGTGTCCTCCACCATGAACACCGATACCAGACTCTTCCACCATACCACCCTCTCAGTGTCCTCCACCATGAACACCGATACCACACTCTTCCACCACACCACCCTCTCAGTGTCCTCCACCATGAACACCGATACCACACTCTCTTCCACCATACCACCCTCTCAGTGTCCTCCACCATGAACACCGATACCAGACTCTTCCACCATACCACCCTCTCAGTGTCCTCCACCATGAACACCGATACCACACTCTTCCACCATACCACCCTCTCAGTGTCCTCCACCATGAACACCGATACCACACTCTTCCACCATACCACCCTCTCAGTGTCCTCCACCATGAACACCGATACCAGACTCTTCCACCATACCACCCTCTCAGTGTCCTCCACCATGAACACCGATACCAGATCTCACCACCCTCTCAGTGTCCTCCACCATGAACACCGATACCACACTCTTCCACCATACCCTCTCAGTGTCCTCCACCATGAACACCGATACCAGACTCTTCCACCATAACCACCCTCTCAGTGTCCTCCACCATGAACACCGATACCAGACTCTTCCACCCCCACCCTCTCAGTGTCCTCCACCACCATGAACACCGATACCAGACTCTTCCACCATACCACCCTCTCAGTGTCCTCCACCATGAACACCGATACCACACTCTTCCACCATACCACCCTCTCAGTGTCCTCCACCATGAACACCGATACCAGACTCTTCCACCATACCACCCTCTCAGTGTCCTCCACCATGAACACCGATACCACACTCTTCCACCATATACACCCTCTCAGTGTCCTCCACCATGAACACCGATACCACACTCTTCCACCCCTCTCAGTGTCCTCCACCATGAACACCGATACCAGACTCTTCCACCATACACCACCCTCTCAGTGTCCTCCACCATGAACACCGATACACACACTCTTCCACCAAACCACCCTCTCAGTGTCCTCCACCATGAAACACCGATACCAGACTCTTCCACCATACACCCTCTCAGTGTCCTCCACCATGAACACCGATACCACTCTTCCACCATATTCCACCCTCTCAGTGTCCTCCACCATGAACACCGATACCAGACTCTTCCACCATAACACCCTCTCAGTGTGAACACCGATACCACACCTTCCACCCTCTCAGTGTCCTCCACCATGAACACCGATACCAGACTCTTCCACCATACCACCCTCTCAGTGTCCTCCACCATGAACACCGATACCACACTCTTCCACCATACCACCCTCTCAGTGTCCTCCACCATGAACACCGATACCACACTCTTCCACCATACCACCCTCTCAGTGTCCTCCACCATGAACACCGATACCAGACTCTTCCACCATACCACCCTCTCAGTGTCCTCCACCATGAACACCGATACCACACTCTTCCACCCTCTCAGTGTCCTCCACCATGAACACCGATACCAGACTCTTCCACCATACCACCCTCTCAGTGTCCTCCTCATGAACACCGATACCCACACTCTTCCACCAAATACCACCCTCTCAGTGTCCCTCCACCATGAACACCGATACCAGACTCTTCCACCATAACACCCTCTCAGTGTCCTCCACCATGAACACCGATACCAGACTCTTCCACCAACACCCTCTCAGTGTCCTCCACCATGAACACCGATACCACACTCTTCCACCTTCCACCCTCTCAGTGTCCTCCACCATGAACACCGATACCAGACTCTTCCACCACCATACCACCCTCTCAGTGTCCTCCACCATGAACACCGATACCTCTCTCCACCACCACCCTCCACTGTCCTCCCCCATCCCTCTCTGCCAACTCCCTCCACTGACCTCCATTCAGTGTCCCTCCATGAACACCGATACCAGACTCTTCCACCAACCACCCTCTCAGTGACCTCCATTCAGTGTCCATCCACTCCTCTCTCAGTGTCCCAATGAACACCTCCACTCTCCACCATTCTCAGTGTCCTCCTCCATGAACACCGATACCAACTCTTCCCTCCACACGGTGTCCTCACCATGCCAACCTGACTCTCAGAGCTTTCTCCCATTCACTGGAAATCCCTACCCCATCCCTCTCTGCCAATCCCTCCACTGACCTCCATCCCTCTCTGCCAATCCCTCCCACTGGCCTCCATTCAGTGTCCTCCATCCCTCTCTGCCAATCCCTCCACTCTGCTCCCTCCATTCAGTGTCCTCCATCCCTCTCTGCCAATCCCTCCACTGACCTCCATTCAGTGTCCTCCACCCCCCTCTGCCATTCCCTCCACTGGCCTCCATTCAGCATCCTCCACCCCTCTCTACCAATCCCTCCACTGGCCTCCACTCAGTGTCCTCCACCCCCCTCTGCCAATCCCTCCACTGCCTCCATTCAGTGTCCTCCACTCCTCTCTGCCAATCCCTCCACACGGTGTCCCTCGTATGCCAACCTGTCCAGAGCTTCTCCCATTCACTGGAAATCCCTACCCCAACCTATCCCATCCTTTGGAAATACCCCTACCCCAATCTGTCCAGAGCCTCCCCCATCCTCTGGAATTCCCTACCCCAACCTGTCCCATCCTTTGGAAATCCCTACCCCAACTTGTCCAGAGCCTCTCTCATTCACTGGAAATCCCCACCCAAATGGTCCAGAGCATCTCACCTCCTCTGGAATTCCCTTCCCCAACCTGTCTAGAGCCTCTCCCATCCTCTGGAACTCCCTACCCCAACCTGTCTAGAGCCTCTCCCATCCTCTGGAACTCCCTACCCCGATCTGTTGGACCATCTTCTACCCTGGTCACCTTTAGGTGATCCTTGAAAACTCCTCCCTTCACGGGAGCCTATTCCGCCTCCACGTTTATTTTCTCCAACTCCTCCCCCACACAGTTCCTATGTTTTACAACACTAGCCACTCCCTTTTAGATTGTAAGCTCTGAGGAGTAGGACCCAACCCCTTGGACTGCTGTGTATCTGCACCATCCATGGTCCTCCCGTGTTCCCATTGAAGGAGCAGACGTACTCTTTCCCGGGTTGTGTCGGGACTTTTCTTCTCCGGATTCCGATGAGAATGTATTTTGCGGCGGTGAAGAACTTCTCCACGGCGTGAGGCAGAGCCGGGTCCTCCTCCAGGAACTGCTCCTCAGAAGCCACGTACTTCACGAAGCTCTTGATGCTCTCCAGGTAATTGCGGGCCGTGGGTTTGCTGGTGTTCAGGGCGTTGAGCTGCACAAAGAATTCCACCGTCTTCCGGATGTTGTAGATACACTTCACCGACACTTCCCTGGGGTCCATGAAGTACAGGTACCGCGCCACGCAGGGCACCTGAAAGTACACAGGACCAATCAGGTGCTGAGGAACCAGAGGACGGCTCACCCGTATGGCCTGGGGTCTCCCTATGGAAGACCTTTCCACCATTAGTCACCGACACTTCCCTGGGGTCCATGAAGTACAGGTACCGCGCCACGCAGGGCACCTGAAAGTACACAGGACCAATCAGGTGCTGAGGAACCAGAGGACGGCTCACCCGTATGGCCGTGGGGGGGTCTCCCTATGGAAGACCTTTCCACCATTAGTCACCGACACTTCCCTGGGGTCCATGAAGTACAGGTACCGCGCCACGCAGGGCACCTGAAAGTACACAGGACCAATCAGGTGCTGGGGAATCAGAGGACGGCTCACCCGTATGGCCTGGGGTCTCCATATGGAAGACCTTTCCACCATTAGTCACCTACCATGCCCTGGGGTCCATGAAGTACAGGTACCGCGCCACGCAGGGCACCTGAAAGTACACAGGACCAATCAGGTGCTGAGGAACCAGAGGACGGCTCACCCGTATGGCCGGGGGTCTCCCTATGGAAGACCTTTCCACCATTAGTCACCTACCATGCCCTGATCTGCACAGAGTCTCTGCATGGAGGCAGCCATCTTGGTGGAGGCGGGGCTTTACTTGCTCATGTCAGAGCCTCCAGCAAGGAGAACAGTGAGCAGCACAATGATGACATCACCTGAGATGGAGGCAGCAGTGCCTTAGAGGATCCCAGGGAGCATGCTCTGTTGTCACTGGTGCCTATGCACAGGAAGCCCAGTGATGTCACCGGCACCTAGCCGCAGGGAGCCCAGGTGATGTTGTCACCGGTGCCTAGGTGCAGGGAGCATCCTCTGTTGTCACTGGTGCCTAGGTACAGGGAGCCCGGCGATTATATCATTGGTCCCTAGGCGCAGGGAGCCCGGCGATGATATCATTGGTGCCTAGGCACAGGGAACGCACTGATATATATCAGGAAGAATACAAAGGTAAATATTTGGGGGGGTGGTACCCATTGTTCCCGGGGGAGGGTCACAGTATAGGAGCAAGGGGGGACACAGTACCGGAGGGGGGGGACACAGTATAGGAGCGGGGGGGGGTCACAGTGGGTTGTTGGGGTCCATACCTGATGGTTGATGAAGGAGGTTGAATAGGAGGCCTCCAGGAATTTGCGGAACCCCACCATCAATGGAGAATCCTCCGGATGCTTCACCAGGAGGCCGGTCTTCATGGTGGCCAGGAGAGTCCGCCTGTGGAAATAGTGGGAGGGATGATGAGAGTCAACAGATCAGAGGTCTCCATCGATTGGTCAGGGGATCTGTCACAGGGGATGGTTACATTGTGATGGGGACACCGGTGATCTGAAAAACGGTTTTAGGGTTGGTTCACACCACAGAAATGCAGTCCAGATGTGTTCCGGGTGCGTTTTTCTGCATGCGTGTTTTTGACGAGTTCCAGTTAATTTTTTTCCCTGGTATCACGACAGAGCGGGGTCAGCGCATGCTGAAGCGCACAGTGCGCAGAAGTCACCAACTGTCTGCAGAGTCAATAGCTAAAGACCTCCAAACTTGGTGTGGCCTTCAGATGAGCCCAACAACAGTGCGTAGAGAGCTTCATGGAATGGGTTTCCATGGCCGAGCAGCTGCATCCAAGCCTTCCATCACCAAGTGCAATGCAAAGCGTTAGATGCTGTGGTGTAAAGCACGCCGCTACTGGACTCTAGAGCAGAGGAGCGTGTTCTCTGGAGTGACCAATCACGCTTCTCTGTCTGGCAATCTGATGGACATGTCTGGGTTTGGTTTGGCGGTGGCCAGGAGAACGGTACTTGCCTGACTGCATTGTGCCAAGTGTAAAGTTTGGTGGAGGGGGGATTATGGTGTGGGGGTGCTTTCAGGGGTTGGGCTTGGCCCCCTAGTTCCAGTGAAGGGAGCTCTTAAGGTGACATTTTGGACAATTTCATGCTCCCAACTTTGTGGGAGGAGTTTGGGGATGGCCCCTTCCTGTTCCAACATGACTGCGCACCAGTGCACAAAGCAAGGTCCATAAAGACATGGAGGAGCCAGTTTGGGGTGGAGGAACTTGACTGTCCTGCACAGAGTCCTGACCTCAACCCCATAGAACACCTTTGGGATGAATTAGAGCGGAGACTGCGAGCCAGGCCCCTCCCCCGACATCAGTGCCCCTCCCCCGACATCAGGCCTCCTCCCCGACATCAGTGCCTGACCTGACAAATGTGCTTCTGGAAGAATGGTCCAACCTTCCCATAGACACCCTCCTAAACCTTGTGGACGGCCTTCCCAGAAGAGGCAAAGGGCGGGGCCAACTCAATATTGAACCCTACGGACTAAGACTGGGGGGGCCATTAAAGGTCATGTGTGTGGAAAGGGCGGGGCCAACTCAATATTGAACCCTACGGACTAAGACTGGGGGGCCATTAAGGTCATGTGTGTGGAAAGGGCGGGGCCAACTCAATATTGAACCCTACGGACTAAGACTGGGGGGCCATTAAGGTCATGTGTGTGGAAAGGGCGGGGCCAACTCAATATTGAACCCTACGGACTAAGACTGGGGGGCCATTACAGGTCATGTGTGTGGAAAGGGCGGGGCCAACTCAATATTGAACCCTATGGACTAAGATTGGGGGGCCATTAAAGGTCATGTGTGTGGAAAGGGCGGGGCCAACTCAATATTGAACCCTACGGACTGAGACTGGGGGGCCATTAAAGGTCATGTGTGTGGGCCAACTCAAATTGGGGGGGGCCATTACAGGTCATGTGTGTGGAAAGGGCTAGCAGCCCAATACTTGGGGCCAGGGATCTCCAAACAATGGCCCTCCAGGTGTTGAGGAAGTACAAGTCCCATGAGGCCTTGCAAGAATCTGACAGCCACAGGCAAGACTCCAAGCGGCAGAGGCATGATGGGACTTGTAGTACGTCAACAGCTGGAAGATCATCTCAATATTGAACCCTACGGACTAAGACTGGGGGGCCATTAGAGGTCGTGTATGTGGGAAGGGCGGCGGTCTGATCCTGGGGCAATATGGTGTATATATACCCCGTACAGCACAGAGTATACAGGGGGCGGGGGATGGATACAACAGAATCTCACCCAATCTCTCCACAAGTCGCTCCTTCAGCTTTTTGTCTCTCTGGCTACAGCTCCATGTGAGATGGGGGGAGGGGGGTCCTCCATTTTCCTGTAGCTCAGGAAGGGGAGGGGCTAATTCCATGTTCCTGTAGCTCAGGGAGGGGCGGGGGCTGTCCTTCATGGTTCCTGTAGCACAGGAGGGGGCGGGGCTGTCCTCCATGGTTCCTGTAGCACAGGAGGGGGCGGGGCTGTCCTCCATGTTCCTGTAGCTCAGGTAAGAGAAGGAAGTGTTCCTATATTTGGGGGGGGAGGGGTGTGGTGGTCAGGGATGAGGGGATACAATGTTTCGTAGTGGAGAAGAAATGTCTCCATTATCTCCGTCTCGGTTCCGTCACTCTAGTCATCGTTCTGACAGGATAAATCCCGGTCTGCGCATGTTCCCGGACGTCACTTCCGGTGTTCCCGATGTCCGGCCATGTTGGATCTGGGCAGTGCAGGTTGTACCCTCGGCCCCCATAGGGAAGGTATGGGGTTCCTCCATGTCGGAGGTCACAGGTGAGTCAGGGGGACGTCCTACTCCTGGTCCCGGATCCTGTCCCCCATAGGGTGGCCCCCCCCCATACGATGACCCGGGTCCGGGGTAAATGAGTCCCTCAGACCTCGTCTGCATCCCCCCCCCCGGAACCCGTGTGATTATTTGTGTTCGGGGTCAGAGGGATGAGGGGGCCGCCCTAGTCACCGAACCGGACTCCTCCCCACGGTGGGTGATCGGGGACTCCTCCCCCCCCACGGTGGGTGATCGGGGACTCCTCCCCCGCCACGGTGGGTGATCGGGGACTCCTCCTCCCCCCCCCCCCCCCCAAGGTGGGTGATCGGGGGACTCCTCCCCCCCCCCCCCCTCCCCCACGGTGGGTGATCGGGGACTCCTCCCCCCCCCCCACGGTGGGTGATCGGGGACTCCTACCCCCCCCCCCCCCCCACGGTGGGTGATCGGGGACTCCTACTCCCCCCCCCCCCCCACGGTGGGTGATCGGGGACTCCTACCCCCCCCCCCCCCCCCACGGTGGGTGATCGGGGACTCCTACTCCCCCCCCCCCCCCCCCCCACGGTGGGTGATCGGGGACTCCTACTCTCCCCCCCCCCCCCCCCCCCACGGTGGGTGATCGGGGACTCTACTCCCCCCCCCCCCCACACTCCCCCCCCCCCCCCCCCCCCCCCCCCCCCACGGTGGGTGATCGGGGACTCCTACTACCCCCCCCCCCCCCCCCCCACGGTGGGTGATCGGGGACTCCTACTCCCCCCCCCCCACGGTGGGTGATCGGGGGACGGGACTCCTACTCCCACCCCCCCCCCCCCCCCCACGGTGGGTGATCGGGGACTCCTACTACCCACCCCCCCCCCCCCCCACGGTGGGTGATCGGGGACTCCTACTCCCCCCCCCCCCCCCCCACGGTGGTGTCGGGGATCGATGATCGGGGACTCCTACTCCCCCCCCCCCCCCCCACGGTGGGTGATCGGGGACTCCTACTCCCCCCCCCCCCCCCACGGTGGGTGATCGGGGACTCCTACGGGGACCCCCCCCCCCCCCCCCCCCCCCCCCACGGTGGGTGATCGGGGACTCCTACTACCCCCCCCCCCCCCCCCCACGGTGGGTGATCGGGGACTCCTACTCCCCCCCACGGTGGGTGATCGGGGACTCCTACTCCCCCCCACCCGCAGGTGGGTGATCGGGGACTCCTCCCCCCCCCCCCCCCCCCGCGGCGGGTCCCCCCCCCCCACGGGCGGGTGATCGGATCCTCCAACACGGCGGGGGTTTGGGGACTCTGCCACAAGGCAAATAAATGGCCGACTTCAGTCACCGAGGTCCCAGCTGAGCGACACCAACAACCCGGAGCTCCGAAACCTCTTTCCCTCAGAGTTGGCCAAGCTCTCCCCCCCCCCCCCCAACCCCCCGACTTGTGTATAATGTCCTCCATGTGCTTGACTACAGTACTTCCCAGGGGTCCCTACGACCTGCATCCAGTGTGTATTGGAGGAGAAGACTTATTGGTGTCCCACCCCCTGGAGGTCCAAGAACCTCCATGTACTATTAGTATCTGGAGACAGCATCTCCAGTGGTGTCCCAGGTGGAACCTGCGCGTGTGCGGCGTGGTCCCAGGTGGAACGTGTGCGGCGTGGTCCCAGGTGGAACGTGTGCGGCGTGGTCCCAGGTGGAACGTGTGGAACGTCCCAGGTGAACTGCGCGTGTGCGGCGGTCCCAGGTGGAACTGCGCGTGTGCGGCGTGGTCCCAGGTGGAACCTGCGAGGCGTGGTCCCAGGTGGAACTGCGCGTGTGCGTGGTCCCAGGTGGAACCTGCGAGGCGTGGTCCCAGGTGGAACTGCGCGTGTGGCGGCGTGGTCCCAGGTGAACCTGCGAGGCGTGGTCCCAGGTGGAACCTGCGCGCGTGCGGCGTGGTCCCAGGTGGAACCTGCGTGTGTGCGGCGTGGCCCCAGGTGGAACCTGCACATGTGTAGGTGAAAGGAACTGCCCTTGAAAGAGCAAGGTACCGAGTGTAGAAATGTTCTCCAGTTTGGAGAGTGAGAAAGGTCCCTGTACTGGCCACTTACCTCCAAGGGCAAGAGCAAAGCACACTGGGGCCCAGAAGCAGGGACAGCAGTCTTCCAACACAGAGCTGCATGTGCTAATAGAGTTCTAGTCCTGGTCAGGACTTCAGGGGTCTTCAGGATTTGGGCTCCAGTGGACCATGGTCCTGGATTGGTATGGCACCCCACAAACCGGTGTGTCATGGTGAGTGCTTCTCATGGTTCAGTACCAGATGGCAGCATTAAAGGCCTTCACCAACCTGTGGGACCAGACCCTCAAAGTGCTGTGAGGCCGAGATGTAGCTGATCTGGGGAAATGGTGCTGTGAAAAGAGCCTTCAGGGCAACCAGCAGGCACACCAGAAACACTTGCTGGACGATCACTTTCAGTAGAATCGCAAACAGTCGCTCAGCACCGGGAGAAATCCCTCCATTATCTGGACACTAGAAAAAATCTGAAGGAAAATTGGGAGTGGGAGAGGTTCTGGAGGGCTGGTGTCAGGTACCTGGTGATGGAGGCCAATGGAGAGAGGGCTTCCCTTGCGGCTAAGTTCCGGACTCCCCTGAGAGTGGGACAGCGGGAGTCAGGCCCAAAGTGGCACAGGTCACCTGTAGGAGTGCTGGTTGGTGGTCCACCCAGGAGCACAGCTGGTGCACGGAGATAGGTCTGCAGACAGGGGGCCCCTGTGCGTGGTATGCAAGTCCTCCCGGGAATGGAGGTTTACTGGGTTGTCGGTTCAAGTCAAGGTCAGGTACCAGGTGGGAATCAGAGCAGACGTAGTCAGATGGGATAGCCGAGGTCATACACAGAGGAGAGAGAGAGAGAGTCTCCGTAACCCAGGCCGAGGTCAGATCAGGGGTAAGGCAGAGTAGACGGGTCCAGGAGCAAGCCGAGTCGGTAACAGGAAATCACGGGTCAGAACCACAGGAAACAGGGCATGGGGAGCTAGAGATCATCCAGCAACCAGAGGAAGTGATGGGCCTCCTTATAAAGGCCGTCTGGCACCAGACTGAGGCTGATGTGTGCTTCTGCGGCCATGCAGAGTACTGGCAGAAATGCCAGATCTTCCAGAACTGGACAGGACCCTGACAGCTGGGGTTCAGCTTTGCTATTTGCCGGTGTCCAATCACCTAGAGGTAGCTCCTAACCCATTGGCCTGAACCGATCTTGTGTTTTAAGAAATGTGGTTTTTCTTCTCCGGGTTCCTGTGCACTGTCTTCCGAACTTCCGGTGGGGGGAGTGTACACTCATCGCTTCACAGAGAGTCGCCCCGCTCCCCCTCCTCAGGACTACTTGTCCCATAATTCATCACCACCATGGCAGCTGTGCCTACATGCCCTGTCAGTCCCCACTGGTGGCCTGTACAATATGGTGGCAGCAATGTCACGGCGTTGGCCTGAAGCCTCTTCGTTGAAGGAGGTTGCATGGGAGGGTGGTGCTGTAGGACTTGGGAAAGCAACGGCGTCGCCTGGGTACTGGAAATATCTGAAAGGAGAGGAAGAAGTCGCACAGGAGGTAAGTATTGAGGTAAGTTGCTGTAAATGTGAAGGTTTACCACCCCAAGTCACATTAGATACCTCATCCTATGCCAGGAAGCCCAAGAGCAGCCGTGCCAAGTCCTCTGGATGCCAGTTTCACGGGACTAAAACACGGTGCGCCTGACTTCTCCTGCGCAGCACGGTGCCTAGAATGAGGTTCTCCTGCAGAAAATTGTCATAGACCCCCCCCATTATACCAGATGATGGGAATAGTATGGTGTCCTCCTTAAGGTGCAACACAAACATCTAACCCTGTACAGTACGTCGTCTTTCTATGAATATATTCAACGATGAAAGTCAAAGCAAACCAACTTTACTTGTAGATTTAATTCTGGATTTTTGCTTTTTCTTCATCTCTGTTCAGGTGGATTGACTGGTGATTGTTGGTCTTCACAAGCACAACCGGGTCACATTGGAGACGAGTCGTCTGGGTGTTCTGAGGGACTGAACTGCTTTACTACAGATCACCGGAGGATTCCTACGGGACACAAGTTCTCTCCATCTTCTAAATGGGTCATATGGGGTGTTCTGAGGGACTGAAAGGTTTTACTACAGATCACCGGAGGATTCCTACGGGATACAAGTCCTCTCCATCTTCTAAAAGTCATATGGGTGTTCTGAGGGACTGAAAGGCTTTACTACAGATCACCGGAGGATTCCTACGGGACACAGGTCCTCTCCATCTTCTAAATAGGTCATATGGGTGTTCTGAGGGACTGAACTGCTTTACTACAGATCACCGGAGGATTCCTACGGGACACAAGTCCTCTCCATCTTCTAAATAGGTCATATGGGTGTTCTGAGGGACAGGTCCTCTCCATCTTCTAAATAGGTCATATGGGGTGTTGTTCTGAAGGGGACCTGAACTGCTTTACTACAGATCACCGGAGGATTCCTACGGGACACAAGTCCTCTCCATCTTCTAAATAGGTCATATGGGTGTTCTGAGGGACTGAACTGCTTTACTACAGATCACCGGAGGATTCCTACGGGACACAAGTCCTCTCCATCTTCTAAATAGGTCATATGGGTGTTCTGAGGGACTGAAACTGCTTTACTACAGATCACCGGAGGATTCCTACGGGACACAAGTCCTCTCCATCTTCTAAATAGGTCATATGGGTGTTCTGAGGGACTGAACTGCTTTACTACAGATCACCGGAGGATTCCTACGGGACACAAGTCCTCTCCATCTTCTAAATAGGTCATATGGGTGTTCTGAGGGACTGAAAGGCTTTACTACAGATCACCGGAGGATTCCTACGGGACACAAGTCCTCTCCATCTTCTAAATAGGTCATATGGGTGTTCTGAGGGACTGAACTGCTTTACTACAGATCACCGGAGGATTCCCACGTGACACAAGCCATGTTGGCATTCTAAGTATCAAATGCTTTGAATATTCTTCAACGTTGGTCCAGATTGGAGGACAACAGGAGAGAAGTCATTGTTGGAAGTGACAGTGACTTTACGATTGAGTCGAACCCATACATACCCAAGGGACTTCTCACTGGAGAGAAGATATATCAAAGGTTTTACAATGGAAGCAAACCTTGTTGGTCACCGGAAGGTCCACACAGAAGAAAATCCATATCCGTGCTCCGAATGTGACAAATCTTTTAGCGTGAAGTCAAGGCTTGTGAGACACCAGAAGGTTCACACCGGAGAGAAACCGTTTCAGTGCAGCGAGTGCAACAAAGCGTTCCAGAGGAAGGACGCACTGATGGTACATCAGAGGTATCACACGGGGCAGAGGCCATATCAGTGCTGTGAATGTGACAAAGCCTTTATGGAGAAGTCGCATCTTCTCTCGCACCAGAAGGTCCACACGGGGCACAGGCCGTATCGGTGCTCTGAGTGTGACAAAGTCTTTATATGGAGAAGTCACACCTTGTCTTGCACCAGAAGATCCACTCGGAGGAGAGGCCGTATACCTGCTCTGAATGCGATAAGGGTTTTGTAAGGAAGTCGCATCTCGTCGTACACCAGAGGTCTCACACAGGGGAGAGGCCGTACCCGTGTTCTGAATGTGACAAGGCCTTCGCAGTGAAGACGCATCTTCTCCGACACCAGAGCATCCACACCGGAGAGCGGCCACATCAGTGCTACGAATGTGATAAAGCCTTCAAAGTGAAGAAAAGCCTTCTCACGCACCAGATCGTCCACACCGGAGCGAAGCCGTATACCTGCTCTGAATGCGATAAGGGTTTCGTATTGAAGTCGCACCTCGTCATACACCAGAGGTCCCACACCGGGGAGAGGCCGTACCCATGTTCTGAATGTGACAAGGCCTTCGCAGAGAAGGCGCCTCTTCTCCGACACCAGAGGATCCACACCGGAGAGCGGCCACATCAGTGCTACGAATGCGATAAAGCTTTTCGAGTGAAGTCGGCCCTCGTCAAACACCAAAGGAGCCACAGTCTGACTTTCTGGCTGCAAAGCGGAAACTCTGGGAAAAAGTAGAGGGTTTCAAGGGGTAGCAGATAAATGCTGAAAGGGTTGGGCGGGGGGGTGGGGGTGTCTCGGCAGATGCATAACCCAATGTCACGTCCCAAGATAACGGGAAAGTGAAACGATATTATCCTACTTTAAGACACAAACGTGCCACAATCTGCCAAGCCAACTGCAATGGAATGGACGGATGTATGGAGTTGAACCATTTATGTTAGGGGTGTCAAGCCGGCAGGCCTCCAGCTGTCGCAAAACTACGAGTCCCGTCATGCCTCTGCCTGTGGGAGTCATGCTTGTAACTGTCAGTCTTGCAGTGCCTCGTGGGACTTGTAATTTGGCAACAGCTGGAGGGTCGGCAGTTTGACGCCCATGATTTACGTCCATCAGAAAGCCTTCAGATATGTTACCTCTTGAGAGACTATCGAGGAGCAGAGGCTCGGCTGAACTGTGGTCTCGTCCTTGGTTTATGGCTGGATACGTATTCTGTGTGCATCATACACTGATCGACCTTCGTTCCCGAGGGTTTCCTTCATTGTCAGATCCCGCCTCATTATCCGGGTTTCTCAAATTCTGTTGCCCAGCCTCCGAAGCCTTGTTTGGAGGAGATCTCCCCAGGTTCTGATGACCATTGAAGCTTGAGGGTTCCAGGTAAACCCATCTAGGCCACATCTCCTAGTGAAGGTTCTCCATCCTCTGTTTTATGAACGTTTCTCCAGGGTTCCTCCCAAAGGTCCTCTGTTTGGGGTTTGCCTTGAGGTCGCATGGGGTTTCCTAGGCATGGGGTTTCTCCCAACCAGGGTTTCCTCCAAGAGGTCGCATGGGGTTTCCTCCCAGAGGGCTAGGGGTTTCCTCTAGGGGTTTCCAGAGGTCGCTAGGGGTTTCCTCCAGAGGTCGCTAGGGGTTTCCTCCCAGAGGTCGCTAGGGGTTTCCTCCCAGAGGTCGCTAGGGGTTTCCTCCAGAGGTCCCAGAGGTCGCTAGGGGTTTCCTCCCGCTAGTCCTCCAGAGGTCGCTAGGGGTTTCCTAGGGTGTCCTCCAGAGGTCGCTAGGGGTTGTCCTCCCAGAGGTCGCTAGGGGTTTCCCGCTAGGGTCCCAGAGGTCCACTAGGGGATCTCTTTTAGTTATCTGTAAGGAGGTAACTCTCTGATGGTAGGGGAGCGTAGGGGGGGGGGCGTGCTTCCTTCCCACCGACGGCGAGCGTAGGGGCGGGCGTCCTTCCCACCGACCATCAAACTGATGTACTAGACCTGCGCACAACGGAAAAAAAAAACCTTTGTTTAGCCTCCAATCCATTCCATAAGTTACTGATTTTTGTGTTTTTTTTTTTTTGTTTTTTTTTGCCTTCATGTAAAAATTTGTTTTGTTTGTTCGTTTTCAACCAGATTAAATTTTTTTCCAGTGGATTTGATGTATTCGAATCGCAAAATATGGAATTGATCCAAATTCATTGTGAAGAACAGCTAGTTCTGCTAGAAGATGGCTACTATTCTAGTCTATTTTTTCTGTTGCTTTATATTCTGTTTTTATTTTTCATTCTATTTGAATCTATACTATTCTATTCTGTTTTATTCTACTCTTTTCAAAATTTGAAGATGGCGATATTCTTTTCTGTTCTGTTCTGTTCTATTCTTTTCTAAATTCGAATTTTGGAAGACAGCTCTATTCTAGTCCTTTATTTTCTATTCTGTTCTATTCTTTTCAACATTTTGAATTTCTGAAGACAGCCATTAGTGATAGGCCATACATTTTCCCCCCCCCCCCCGTTCAGTTCACGGTTGAACATTGAACCTACTGAAAGGTCGACCGCGAATTTCGAACACAAACCGTTCACTGAGCGGTACCTTCCAGAATCTGAGTATGTGGTGCGATCCCGCTCAGCGACTACAATCCGGCGGGAGTTCTATGATGACGTCACACGGTATTCTAGTAGTGAGACGTTCATGACTCTGGGGTCAGTGGGGCTCCCGGGGTCAGTGGGGCTCCCGGGGTCAGTGGGGGCTCCCGGGGTCAGCTCCCGGGGTCAGTGGTGTTCCCGGGGTCAGTGGTGTTCCCGGGATCAGTGGGGCTTCAGTGGGGTTCCCCGCTCATAGCTGAATGGAAAAAGAATTGCCGGCAATTTAAAAAAAAAAAAGGAAAAAAAAACCCCGCATGTGCCCCCCTCCAAGTCCATACCAGACCCTTATCTGTGTATGCAGCCTGGCAGGTCAGGAAAGGGGGGGGGGGGACAAGTGAGTGCCCCCCCCCCCCCCGAATGACACCAGGCCACATGCCCTCAACATGAGGGGGGTTGAGGGCATGTGGCCCCCCACCAAAGCACCTTGTCCCCATGTTGATGGGGACAATGGACTCTACCCCACAACCCTGGCCGGTGGTTGTGGGGGCCTTATCGGAATCTGGAAGCCCCCTTTAACAAGGGGGTCCCCAGATCCTGCCCCCCTCCCCCCCTATGTGAATGAGTAGGGGGTACACGGTGTTGCTACTCAGCCACAGAACAAAGTGTAGAAATGACCGGAGGCGGTCCCTGACAAGTCCTTTTATTAAAAATAAAAAATGTCCCCCGAAGTAGATCCAATCACGATGGCCGCCGCCACCGCTACTCGAAAAAAAGGAAAAAAAAATCTGCTTCTGTTGTCTGACATTTGCCCCCGATGGCAGAGCTTAAATACTGTCATGATGTCACAAGGGGGCGGGATTCAGTAAGGGACGGAGTCTGAGAGGAACACTGGAAGGAGCGGCAGCTCATTTTCTTCAGTCCTTTCTTCCTCCCCTCAGCTGAAGGATCATTCATGACGTGGCGGCGTCCCACGCAGAGAGAGCTCCGGCCTGTGCTGCGCCCAGGTGCCCCTAGGTGGCAGGATATGTCTTGAGAGAGAAAAAAATATATTTTCTGATGAAAAGAGAATAATAAATGCTTATATGCTAATGTTGTGTTGTGTGTATAACAGGTGACAGGTCTGATCTCCGGAGTGATGTGATGGAGGAAATTATTGTCCCCGGAGCTCTGGAATGACTTGTGTGGCATTAGGGGGAGGGGTTAATCTTCATGTTCTACAATGAGATCTTAGAGAGTCTGAGTCGGGATCAAAAACCAGAACTTCTCCTCTCCAGTACTGTGCGGAGGAGGAGCTGCCGGGCAAATGTGTATCGTGATGTCAGAGTTATGTTTGGAAGGTCCTCTGTGGCCACTGTCCAAGGTGGGGCTTCATGGACTCCCGTCCTTTGTCCCTGGTCTGTTGTGACCTACACTATCGTGCCAAAAGTATTGTCCCCACCCCCTCCCAATCACGTGATTCAGGCGTTCCAATCCCCTCCCAATCACGTGATTCCGGTGTTCCAATCCCCCCTCCCAATCATGTGATTCCGGTGTTCCAATCCCCTCCCAATCATGTGATTCCGTGTGTTCCAATCCCCTCCCAATCATGTGATTCCGGTGTTCCAATCCCTTCCCAATCACGGGATTCCGGTGTTCCAATCCCCCCTCCCAATCACGGTGTGATTCCGGTGTTCCAATCCCTTCCCAATCACGGGATTCCGGTGTTCCAATCCCCTCCCAATCACGTGATTCAGGCGTTCCAATCCCCCCCTCCCAATCATGTGATTCAGGCGTTCCAATCCCCCCCTCCCAATCATGTGATTCAGGTGTTCCAATCCCCTCCCAATCGTGATTCAGGTATTCCAATCCCCTCCCAATCATGTGATTCAGGTGTTCCAATCCCCTCCCAATCATGTGATTCAGGCGTTCCAATCCCCCCTCCCAATCACGTGATTCAGGGTTCCAATCCCCTCCATATCATGTGATTCAGGCGTTCCAATCGTGATTCAGGTGTTCCAATCCCCTCCATATCATGTGATTTCAGGCATTCCAATCCCCCCTCCCAATCACGTGATTCAGGCGTTCCAATCCCCTCCCAATCACGTGATTCAGGCGTTCCAATCCCCTCCATATCATGTGATTCAGGTGTTCCAATCCCCTCCCAATCATGTGATTCAGGCGCTCCAATCACTTCCATATCATGTGATTCAGGTGTTCCAATCCCCTCCATATCATGTGATTCAGGTGTTCCAATCATGTGATTCAGGTGTTCCAATCCCTGCCATATCATGTGAGTCAGGTGTTCCAATCCCCTCCCGATGATGTGACTTAGGTGTTCCAATCCCCTCCTGGTCATGTGATTCCGGTGTTGCAATCCCCTCCATGTCATGTGATTCAGGTGTCCCAATCCCCTCCCAATCATGTGATTCAGGTGTTCCAATTCCCTCCATATCATGTGATTCAGGTGTTCCAATCCCCTCCATATCATGTGATTCAGGTGTTCCAATCCCCTCCATATCATGTGATTCAGGTGTCCCAATCATGTGATTCAGGTGTTCCAATTCCCTCCATATCATATCATGTGATTCAGGTGTTCCAATCCCCTCCATATCATGTGATTCAGGTGTTCCAATCCCCTCCATGGACACAGGTGTATACAATCAAGCCCCTAGGCATGCAGACGGCTTCTACAAACATTGGTGAAAGAATGGGTCGCTCTCAGGAGCTCAGTGACTCCAAGCGTGGTCCCGTGATAGGTGGCCACCTGGGCAATAAGTCCATCCGTGACATTTCCTGGCTACTAAATATTCCACGCTCAGCTGTTAGTGGGATTATAACAAAGTGGAAGCAACTGGGAACAACAGCCACTCAGGTGGGGGGCTCATCAGAATTTGGAAGCCCCTTTTACCAAGGGGGCCTCCAGATCCCAGCCCCCCCCCCACGTGAATGAGTCTGGGGTATATGGTGCCACTCCCCATTCACAATAAAATACAGGAGTCATTCCCTGACAAGTCCTTTAATAATAGAATGTCCCCCGAAGTGGATCCAACCTCAGTCATGATGCCCGCCGCTGGCCTCCGCCCATCTGCCTATGAGCTGGTTTGACAGTTCTTAAATATGTAGGGGGTGGGGCCACCTGGTGACATCACTCGTATGACCCCACCCCCATGTGACATCATCTACCGGGCATGCTGAACTGTCA